GGACTGATGATGTACATGTGAACTCACGGAGGACTGATGATGTACATGTGAACTCACGGAGGACTGATGATGTACATGTGAACTCACAGAGGACTAATGATGTACATGTGAACTCACAGAGACCGTAGCAAAACACACAAGCGGCACAGGTTCAAGTCAGACGGTGTCCGCGCACTGGGCGGGGGAAGTGAACACAAGTTAACCGAGACACTATCTGTAATCGACACCCACTGACAAGAGAAAAATTCGTTTTCTCCAACGGAGCCTCACAGGATGCACAAGCCACACTTGAGGGCAGGCTCCACGCCCAGGAGTGGTTGGTCAATACGAAACAGACTCAGTGGCATTTTTGTGGGTCCTTGGCCTCATTTTGCATTGTTTGGGCGTTTTGTTGTTGTTGTTGTTTTTGTCTTGTTAGTCTTTGACTTGTATATTTTGGTTTCCATTTTTTTTGTGTGTGTTTTTATGTGTTTTGTTTTATTTTCTAGAGAGAGAGAAGTTGAGTGGGTAGGGAGAAGTTGAAGGAAGAAAAGCATGATTGGAATATATTGTCTGAATTTTTTTTTCAATGAAAGTAAAGGAAAAAAAAAAAAAAGAATCCATCTCACCCCAGTGGGCACGACTGTCATCAAGAACGTGGACAAGGATGGCACAGGAGGGAGAAGCCTTCACTGTCGGTGAGGATGCAAATTAATGCAGCCACTGTGGAAATAACCATGAAATTCTCTAAAAAGAAACCGCCGTGGGATCCAGCTGTCTGCCTCCAGAGTATACATCCACAGGGGTCTCCAGAGTATACATCCACACCGCCATTCCAGGGACACCCGCCCGTCCATGTACCATGTAACACTGTCCACAATAGCTGAGACATAGAACCAGTCCCGGTGCCCGTCCGTGGATGCATGGACAAATAAAACCCAGCACAGACGTACAACCGGGTATCCTTCATCCCGGAAGAAGAGCAAAGCCAGGCAGTGTGATGGAAAGTGAGGGGACTGCAGAGCACGCTAAGTGAAGTGAGCCAGACTCAGAAGGACCAATGTTGCCTGTGTTCACTCAAGAGCAGAATCTAGATAAAAAGAAGACACGAGAGTAGAAGGGGGGAACTTGGGGGAGAGGAATCCTAGTGGGAGGGGACAGAGGGAGCAAGGGAGGATCGTGGAGGAATAAGAGGCTAACATAGAGAAAGATCAAGGGTCTTTGAACCCAAGAGATAGAGTCTGAGTCCTGGCTGTGCAGCCTTGAGCAAGTCGCTTAACCTCTCTGAGTCTCTTACTCATCCCTGACATAAATCACAGCTCTATGTTCAGATCATACCAGATACGATGATAAGACGATGGTACTTACCTCAAGGGGCAAAACATCACATGAACTCAATACGGGAGACATAAAATAAGAGAAAAAAAAAAAGACAAACCTACCCATCCCAAGCTATTGCTACTACTGAACACATACTTATGGATTATGGATATTCCTAGCAAAGAGAGAAGTTCTATAATCTACTAGATTTTTAAAAAATTGTATGTGTGCATGCACAAGCGTGTGTGCTATGCATGAACTCACACATGTGTGGGGGCCAGAGGAGGACATTGGGTGTCTTGCTCTATCCATCTCTTCCTTATTCCCTTAAGACAGTCTCTCACCGAACCTGGAGCTGGCCAGCATGCCCCAACTTCACTGTAAGTACTGCCCTCTAGTTCCCAGAATGCATAGCACCTCCAGTGTGGCTAAGGAGGAAATCCTGTTCCCCTGTGCCACAGCAATTGGTGGCTTTAGGGATGCTCCTGTGACTTCAAAGTAAAACTCAGCACGGTGGCTTTTGTTGGTGCTGCTGGGAAAGGAAGCTCTGATTGTGTGCATGCCTTGGCTCTGAGGGAGAGGGTCCCACACGGTGAGTTCGCTGGTAGCCCATGTCCTTGAAAACAGCGTACAGAGACCATCCTTAGAGTTCTCTCTACAAAAGCAAGTATACAAGACAATGTGGGTGCTATTAGCTCAAGGCAGCCATTCTACTGTCTATGTGTGGTGTGTGCTTGTGTGTGTGTGTGAACACATGGAAGCCAGAGGGGCCCATCAGCATGGCTTTCCTCAAGCTCTTTCTACTTTATTCTCTCCCTCTCTGTTTCGAGACCGGGTCTCACCATGTAGCCCTGGCTGTCCTTGAACTCGCCATGTAGACCAAGCTGGCCTGGAACTCACAGAGATCCCACTTGCCTCTGCCTCCTGGGGTCTGGAATTAAAGTTGAGAGCCACTAAGTCCCATCCCACCATACTTTAACCTGAAACATGCCTTTCAGTCTAGTTTGGCTGGCCACCAAGTTCCAGGGATCCTCCTGTCTCCACATCCCAATTCTGGGGTTATCGGTGTGCATTGCCATACACAGCTTTTATATGAGTGTTGAGGATGAGAACTCAGGTCTTGAGAGTCTTGGTGTGGTTTTGATTTGCATTTCCCTGATGGACATTCCTCATTTAAAAATTATATTTATTCATCAAACATTAAAAAAAAGAACACTTAAAGCCTTAAGCATTTCCTTCTGAGATTTCAGAATATTTTTAAGACATGAAAATATTTAATAAAAATGAGCAATAGCAATGATACATTTAAACACTGAGCCATCTGGCAACACATTTAAAACATTAACATCACGAGACTACATATTAAACTACTCAGAAATCATGCATTCAAGGCATTAAAGCATTGAGTGGAAGCTTTTCCCATGATTTTTTTTTTCCAAGACAGGATCTTACTATGTAGCTCTGACTGTCCTAGAACTCACTAAGTAGACCAGGCTCACCTCGAACCTACAGTGATCCATTCGCCTCTTCCTCCCAAGTGTTGGGATTCACATCACGTGCCACTATGCCCAGGTTTTACCCATCGTTGTAATGACCCATCTGGACCTAAACTGCACATGGCTGTCACACTTAATCTTCACCTGACTCTAGGGGGGAAAGTCTAACCTGCTCTCTATTTATCAATGAAGAAGCTGCATTTTAGAAAGCAGAGTCACATGGCACTATCACACTCCAGTGAGTGGGGCGTAGACTCAGAGTCTCAGGCCCCTAGTCTGCCTGGGCTTGACTCTGTACTTGACCTAGGGATTTACAAAGAGCGCACAGGGCTGAAGAGATGGCTCAGTGGGTAAAGCACTTGACATACAAGCAGGAGGACCTGAGTTCAAATCCCTAGAGCACCTGTAGGGACCTCGCTGGGGAGGCAGAGTCAAAAGGTCTCTGGAGCTCACTGCTCAGCCAGGCTTACCCACCAGTGAGCTCTACTGGCCCATCCATTGCTCTGTCTTCATCATCACCATCCTGCACCAAGAGAAACAGGTGATCCTCATCCATCTTTCACCTCCTCAGTTATTCATTGTTGAATCAGTTCATTCAACAGATCTAGCTTGGTTCTGAATGAAGGAAGGAGACAAGGACTCTTCTCTTTTTGTGAATGACATCAAGTGAGGTGGACCTGGGGCATAAGTCATCAACCATCCAGAAGAATGGAGCCATTCTCATGGTGCGGAGGAGATAAACAGGGAGAAGAGATGGAGTATCCCCAGGTTGAATGCTGCTAGGGTTCCTGGGTCGGGTGACTCCAAGGAACGCTTGAAGGAGATGATAGCTGAGTTGAGGTTGGTGATTTAAAAAAAAAAAATTTTAATTATATATACTGCATTCTACCTGCATATATGCCTGCTTGCCAGAAGAGGGCACCAGATCTCATTATAGATGGTTATGAGTCACCATGTGGTTGCTGGGAATTGAACTCAGGACCTCTAGGAAGAGCAGCCAGTGCTTTTAACCTCTGAGCCATCTCTGCAGTCAGTGGGGTTGGTGATTTTGAAGAAGCCATCTATGGGAGTCTTCTGGCTTAGGCCTGCTCACTTGCCATGTCTTCCTTATAGAGGGGAAAGGAGGAGGAGCCAGGCCCATGAAGGCTGGAGACTCAGGATAACAAGAGCAAAGGAACTGTGCTGGCTGGTTTTATGGCAACTTGACACAGGCTAGAATTATCTCAAAGGAGGGGACCTCAATGAGAAAATGCCCCCATAAGATCCATTGCATCTTCCTAAGGTCTGCCTACAGCTTTCCAGGAGACAGTGGGGACAGATCCTCTCTGAATCAAAGCTCAGGAGGAGGCTGTACACTTCCCCCCTGGAATTAGAGAATTAAGTCCCCAGTTAACAAATCAGAACATCCCAGCAAGTCATCGATGTTTATCACAACCACAAAGACAGTGGTTCCTCCCCAGTATAGCTTCTGAGTCTCTCTCTCTCTCTCTCTCTCTCTCTCTCTCTCTCTCTCCTCTCCTCTCCTCTCTCTCTCCTAAGGGAATGAGCCCAAGTCTCTCCTAGTCTGCATCCCAGAAGAGCAGGCTTAAGGAGTGACAGACTCTTTTTCTTATTTTTTAAATCTAACCCACCCTGGCTGGATTTTTTTTTCTTCCATTCACCTTCCGCACCTTCCCCAGCTCCCCTGGAGTTCTGGTTCCATAACTTGAAACATGATTGCCAAGCAGTTCTGCATTCAGAATAAGGAACCAGTTCCACTCTCCTCCCTCACAGCACGAAGGAGTTCTGAGCGTGCTGTATGGACCAGGTTGAGGCACTTGGCTTTGGTACCAGACCTCTGAGGTGGGATTTACGCAGTCCAGCTCTGGGGGGTGAATCGAGGGAGCCAAGGTGTGTCCTGCTCCCAGCATCCTCTTATCCCATCAAAGCATTGGCTCCCTCATCCGTGAGGATAACAATGGTAACCCTCTTGAGATACAGAAGTCTGAATTCGAGTTGGGCATGGTGGTGCATGGCTGGTCGTCATGAGGGTACTCAGGAGGCAGGAGGATTGTGACTCTGAGAACAGCCTGAGTGACTTAGTGAGACTTGGTTTCAAGATAAAACGTTGAAAGGGGGACACTTGCCTAGGATGCTTGAGGGCCTAGGTTCTCAAGTAAAAGAAGAGTAATTTAGTAAAAGAAGGCAGAGGGGGAAGAGGAGGAGGAAGAAGATGATGACGATGAGGAGATGAAAGACCATGCTGATGAGGAGTGTCTGGCTTTATGTGGGGATTTCAACTCAGGTTCTCATCCTTGTACATCAAGTTATCTACCCAGGGAGCCATCTCCCGGCGGGAACCCTCCATGGTAGGTCTCCTTACCCATCCCCTGCCTTCTCCTTGCTCACACGTGGGTTTTTGTTTTCTCCTGGTGTTAAACGCATCTAGCACACTGGGAGTTAGCTGGATCCATCTGGTGCAGCACCAGACTCTGCAAAGCCTGCCCTGGCATGGCCCACCCCACGCAGGACTCAATGAATATTTCCATTCAGCCTTCCCACAACTGTGCCAACAAGTTTTGTAGATGTTGTCACTGAAAAGGTTCCCAGCCCCTGTGATTAGAAACACAAGTGCCCAGAAGGCCCATCAAACTGCCTCAGAAAGACTCCACCATTTCTCTTTTCTTTTTTCTTTCCTTTTCTCTTCTTTCTTTTTTTTTTTAACTTAAAAAAAAAAAAAAAGCTCACAAAACCAATCCATGGCTGTTCTTGAAGTGGACTCATTTGGAAATAAAATCTTTCCACAAAGTGAGTTTTGGCCACACTTCTTCCTTTTGGGTCCAAAAATGACTTTCTGAGAGCATGTTAGCAAAACTCTGGCAGACCCAAAGCTGGAGGCAGAGGTGGCTCCATCACTGGGGTGGGGTGGGGGCGCACTCACAGCCTGGCGCACAAACACTTGCTTTTAATTCTGAGAGCCCAGGCATCTCATTAGACAATTCATCAAAGTCCCCACAGGAAAAAAGGGCTTGGTTTCGGCGGCCCTGGCACCGCCTGAAGCTCAGCCCCGACTTGCAGCCTCCAGCGATTTGGGTCAGAGCCAAGCTAGGCCTTCCAGTTAGCGACAGGCCTGGAGGACTTAGGGTAGGAGGCTGGGCAGGGGTCTGTTGGCCTGGCCAATGGCTGAGGCTGGATACTATAAATGAGTAATGTGGGAGTTCAGGCTGCTAGGCAAGTAAGAAAATTCGAGTTTGATTTCCCAGCACTCACGTGAAGTGCCAGACACAGTGGGGGTATGCTTGAAATCCCAGTGCTGGAGAGGAA